GACATGGCCGCCTCAAATTATGGTGCTCTACAATTCCAGCTGTATGCTCTTCATACATTCACCTGTCCTGTACCAGTTTTCTAACTTTGATTCTGGGATTCCGTGTGTAAAGTGGTTTGTTCAGTGGTGATTTGTTTGCGTGATGCCGATTTAGGTCATAGTGGTTTGATTGTGGAGTCGTAGGGTGTTGATGGGGCATGCTGCTATGATTGTTGCTGTCTTTGAACTGTCTATTGTCATCATTGCAACAAACAAGTGGCAACACCCACCCAGAAAGAGTCCCCAAACCAAAGCACCTAAGGCCCAAACGGGGGTATGCTTGCTGGCACCAGACAAGAGACTACACCTCAGGTTGCCCTCTTAATGCTGTAACGTATATTTAGCTCCCAGGTCAGAATCTCATTCCTTTTCCGTAGCAGTAAGATTCCTGGATGTGACCAGCATCCATTCTCAAGCCACTGCACATGGAACTGATCAATTTGTCAACTAACATTCGTACTCGTACCGTCCAAGTGATGGACGCCCATCTCTTTCCAAAGAATCACAGCTGCACTCTGTACCCCATGAATTGCTGCCTCCCTCGAAAAGAATACAGTGCAGCCAAGAGGCTGTCTCCCCCACTCTTCTGCAGAACGAGCTGCCTCAAATGCAGGATGTTGCATATACATGCCCCCACTAAAATCTGCTGGCTTGGACCTGGTAAATGACTTTCCTCAACAAAGCATTGCAATTTCAGTTTCAAGGTCTCTGTCTTGAGATTTGTCACTTCCAATCCAGTGGTGAGTAAGCAAGGATAAGATTGGGACGTCTAAAATCCGCCCCAAACATCAACATTCACACCTTCTCAAGAAAATCTGTCAGGTGGATAATGATGAGTGACACCCCTTGGTAAGCCCAGAAGTTCCATAACCTACGGGTCCAAATGCATGCTGAGAATCGAGCTTCAACCCACCTTAAACATCCCAAAACATGTTCTCAGTGAATCCTTCGGCGCAACCCCGTGCCGCCCGCATGGCATCCACACAAGTGTCTTCGCCAGCTTTCCCGAGCGCAATCGTCGAGGAAATTGATGTGATGGGGTATGGTATGGCATCTTTGTCTTGCAGGAGGGAGAGTCGGAGTGAGGCGTTTGAAACACAAGCTGGGTAACGATGACCCAACATATTGCAAAAACAAGTATGCGAATACACACATACTATACCCTACCATTGCATTGCATTTCGCTACATTCCATTCCGTTACATTCCATCACTTAAAGATACATAACATTAAACACATACATAACACAACATACCATTACATACATTACATTACATACATTCCCATCCATTCCATTCCATTGCATTGTGTTGCGTTGCGTTGAGTTGCATTACAGTACAGTACATTACATACATTACATGGAATAGATTTGATCAAAACATAACATACATAACATAACATACGTACATACATACACATGAAAACTGCTTTGTCTGCGATCTGCGAAACTAGGAGGTCGACCATGCATACGCAGCTCCAGTGATTTTAGTAATTTAGGGGGCTACATGCAGTTACTTGGCACTTGCCTTGTGGTGATGATCCCACTGGTTCGAGGCATCTGCGGGCAGTTCGGATGTGGATACGGAGGGCGCCCGTTCCCAGAAAGAACAAAATCGGTTGGTGTCCCAAAGAAGTGATTTTTTACTTGTGAAAGCTCTTCCGGTCCATTGACTGTCTCTGTTAAGAGTGTTTTAATCATGTTCAAAATGAAAGAGCTGGAATCCAAATTGAAACACAGATACCGAGCCAGTCAATCAAAAAGCATAGTCATCTTACAACCTCTCGATGTGAGACTACATAATCATCGCTTCAGCTCTTCCACATTGCTCCGAACACTACTCAGACTCATGGCTCCTACCCATGTTTATCATCCTTTGCCAAAACAAAGGACGCCAAATACGTCCTTTACATGCTGGTGAGGCACATTGACATCGACCATCGCATCATCGTCTTCCTTTGCTTCCAACCTTTGGAGCAATGGGGTCATCAGAAAACTAAACATGACTGGAACCATTGCAGCGACACTGACAAAGAACATGTGGGTGGCAGCAGCTGTTGCTCTTGCACGTCTGGCCACTCCATCTCGCCTGTCCTGATGGCCAGCGGGAAGCACTTGTGACACCAAAGCCGTCGTGTTCACAACAGTGAAAGCAAACACACAAACTTCTGGCACTTTGTCAACAAATCTTGTCATTGGCAAACTGGAAGGCAAATCAAAGGAAATGAAATGAAGTGACTTTTGTCCACGCCCACGGATTGTTGCCTGTCGCAGTCTCTGATACCAAGCTTTTGTTGGCATGACTCACAGAAATTCCTCTCAAGAGTCAAAGGACCAAGCACCATCGTCCCCACTGGAAGTCGACACCTCCACAACGCGGAACCGTTCCCAAGTCCAGTCTGAGGGCAAGTCCTGTGCATTCCTGTGGCCACTGCTGTCCACGCCGTCATTGGTCATGCGGATGAATCGGTTGTGAAGAGTGTTGTGCAAAGCGATCTCTCCTTTCCCTGCTGGCACGATTGCGAAGCGCTCGTAGGTCCAGTCCGCTGGTGGGGGTAAATCAGCCGCAGCCTTCAGCACACTAGCCTCCATATTGTCGTTTGACATCTTGATGAAACGGTTCCATTTGGCACTATGGAGTGCAACTTGCCCGTTCTGACCTTCCACCACTGTGAAACGCTCCCAAGACCAGTTGTCAGGCAATTCATTGGCATTCTTAGTGCCACTCCTGTCCATGTCGGCCTGGTCATTCATGCGGAGGAAACGATTGTGGATGGCGCTGTGCAAGGCAACCACGGAGCCTGGTTTCAAGTAGGGCGCCACTTCCACAACTTGCCATCGCTCCCAAGACCAACTATCGGGAATCCCTGATACGTCTCTCGCTGCACTATTGTCCACAATGCCTTCAGGCGACATGCGAATGTAGCGGTTGTGCAGCTTGTTGTGAAAGGCTATTTGCCCTTTGCCAACATTCACCGCCGTGAAGCGCTCCCAGGTCCATGATGCAGCTCCAGGAAGCAAGTTAGCAGCGCAAATCCCACTCACGTCCATTTCGTCGCCCCTTGCCATCCTCACAAATCGATTGTGAATGGAACTGTGCAGAGCAAGTTGGCCGCTTCCAGCATCCACCACAGTAAATCGTTCCCAGCTCCAATCATAAGGAATGGCCTTTGTGACATCCCACTGGCCGGAAGAATCCATGTCGGCATTGCTGTTCATGCGAAGGAAGCGCTTGGCGCGAGGGCTATACAAGGCAATGGTGCTACCAGGGATCAGTTGCGGAGGTGGCACCTAAGTGATGGCACCAGTCTTCGATGCTCGGCATCGGGTGTCGGTGTTCAGCTTACAAATTTAAAACAGTAATGGTTTTCCGGTCTCAAAAGTAGGAGGAAGGCTTTTCAAACATTGTGGAGCTAGTGGAAGGAACATGTTTAGTTGGTGGGGACTCCCTCGCAGTGTGCCCACCGCCATTTGTCAAACAAACAACGAAAAACTACTAAACACTTTCACCCACGCAAACACACCGCATCCAAAGGTTTCTAGAACAAGTTCAGAAAAAATCCGCAAACATGTTCCTCCATGAAGAGTTGAGGCTGCGGCCCAAAAATGTGCTTGTGTGGTCTTGCAGGTGCTCTCTGGTTGCGTTTCCTATGCGCCTGACATAAGTTATCAGGTGTGCTACATGTAAGAGAGCCATGTGAGTTTTTGGATGCAATCTTGTTAGGGTAACGTGTAAACGTGGTCCATGTGGTCTTGAATTCTTACCCACCGTGTGTTTTGAGGTCCCCCATGCCTCCGAAGGTGCGCTCAAAATGTTTTGGGGGAATTGAAATTTACATGTGGCCAAAAAAA